TCTTTAAAAAACTGTGTTCATATAGGCCTCGGGGTTGAAAGTTTATTTCCAAATATATATGATTCCAGTTTGAGTATCTATGCTTTAATTATTTGCAGATTTACACGCTTTCAGATTTTATTTAGCTTTCTGAAATTTATACTGCTTTTATGTTTCTGCAAATAATATAATTTGGCATTCTTATTCAAGTAATGATTTAAATAATAGTCTGCATCTAAGTAATTTGTGAAAAATAAAATTAAGAAAAAAAATCTCTTCGAAATTGTGTTTGTGCAAATTATATGAAAACAAACACCAAATTTTATGTTATCTAAAATCATTATAAGAAAACAAATAGTTGTGAAAATTCAGTGTTTAATTCTCTACCAAATACGGTCACTGCCATATATGGTGACTGTCTGTCAAATACGGTGAGTTGCACTATCAAATACGGTGAGTTGCACTACCAAATACGGTAAGCAATTGCCAAATGCGATAAGTGTGAATCCGGTATCTAAAACACAAATACGGTATATGAGAACCCAATTCCACTCTATACACTACTGATTAAATATAACAACACACTTAAGACAAATCCTTAATACATATTGGTAGTAAACAAGTTTATTTGTTTATTGGAAACTAATAATTGTTTTATTTTCAGAAACGACTGTCGAACCAACCAACATGGATGTGACCCAAATCGTTTCTGCTGGAAATCAAGTTGTAGCTCTACTATGGCTCAAGGGCCAAGCTCTATTGTGGCTAACTTGCTTAGTCGTGTTGTGAGTCAAACTATGGCTTCAACAACTGGCCAAATGGTTACTGTTCCGGTTAGTCATGGAGAGAAACCGGAGAAAGAGATGGCAGCAGAAAATGCTGTTTTACCTGGTCACCTTTAATCTTGCGAGATTCTTTAATGAGACTGCTCCTGTACTCAATGAAGGAGAAGGAGAAATTCAAACAGTCAATGCACTTGATGCTTGGAAGCATCCGGACTTTTAATGCCGAAACTACATTATGAATAGTTTTGCAAACACGCTATACAATGTGTATAGCATGATGAAAACTACTAAGGAGTTGTGGGAGTCTTTGGACCGAAAATACAAAATTGAGGATGTCGGGGCTAAAAAGTTTATTGTCGACAGATTCCTAGACTATAAGATGGTGGACTCCAAAACTATTATCAGTCAAGTGCAAGAAATCTAAGTGATTCTTCGCGAAATTCATGTCGAAGGGATGGTGTTGAGTGAAACATTTCAAGTGGCAGTAATTATTGAAAAAATTGCCCCTCGCGTGGAAAGATTTCAAAAACTATTTGAAACACAAACGAAATGAAATGAACGTCGAAGAACTTATTGTTAGACTTCGAATTGAAGAAAACAACAAAAGTTCAGAAAAGAAGTGGTTCAATCCTGGTGTGGCTTAAGCCAATGTTGTGAAGCATGGTCAAAGCAGTAAGACTTATAAAAACAAGTTTGGGCCATCCGGTGGAAAAAAGAACAAGCACGGACCGAAAGGTGGAATTTCTAAGAAGAAATTTCAAGGAAATGCTTCAATTGTGACAAAGTAGGTCACAAGTCTTCGGAGTGCAGAATGCCAAGAAGAAGACGAAAGAAGCAAATGTGGTTGACTACATGGCACAAGATGTCTCAAAAATGAATCTCGCAGCCGTCATTTCTGAAGTGAACATGGTGGGTTCAAACCCTAAGGAGTGGTGGATTGATACCGGTGCTACAAGGCATGTGTGCTCCAATAAAGAGCTGTTTGCTATGTTCGAAGCAATTGAGAACGGGGAGAAGCTGTTCATAGGAAATTCAGCAACCTCTGAAATCAAGGATCAAGGAAAGGTGGTTCTAAAGATGACCTCGAGAAAGGAGCTGGCTCTCAACAATAATATGTGCGGAAAATTCGTAAGAATTTAGTGTTTGGGTCGCTTTTGAATAAGTATGGTTTTCGCATTGTATTTGAGTCAGACAAAGTCGTTCTATCAAAAAATGAAATGTTTGTCGGAAAATGTTATGTTTCCGATTGTATGTTTAAGCTGAATGTAATGGTTGTGAAACCAAAAATGCATAAAGTAAATTCTTCTACAAATTTGCTTAAGTCTTCCAATTTGTGGCATTGTAGACTAAAACATGTTAACTATGATACTTTACGTAGACTAGTTAACTCGAATTGCATATCCAAGTTTCATAATGATTCCGAACATAAGTGTGAAACTTGTGTTGAGACCAAATTGACAAGGTCATCCTTTAAGTCAGTTGAACGGAACATAGAACCACTTAATTTAATTCACAGTGATATTTGTGACTTAAAACTTGTACAAACAAGAGGTGGCAACAAGTATTTTATTACTTTTGTCGACGATGACACAAAATACTGCTTAAAAGCAAAGATAAAGTTATAGAGAAATTTGTTCTATGTAAGAATTGAAGTTGAAACTCAACTTAATAAGAAAATTAAGGTACTACAGAGTGATCAAGGTGGTGAGTATGGAGCACCGTTTATCGATTTCTGTGCACAACACGAAATCATATATGAAACCACCGCACCTTATTCACTACAACAAAAAGGTGTAGCTAAACGAAAAAATCGTACCTTAAAAGAAATAATGAATGCAATGCTAATAAGTTCTGGGTTATCTCAGAACATGTTGGAGGAAGTTGTGTCATCA